AGTAGTAGAGTAGTAGTAGAGTAGTAGAGTAGAGTAGTAGAGTAGTAGTAGTAGTAGTAGTAGTAGTGTGTGTGTGTGTGTGTGTAGTGAGTGAGAGAGAGAGAGAGAGAGAGAGAGAGAGAGCGAGAGAGAGAGAGATATTAACAAATTCTTGCAATGGGAATGAAACATTAAAAGAGACCTAGAGAGCTGATTATATTGTTCCAAACTTAGCACAGGAGAGTGTCGTAATGAATTTATTCAACAAACAAAACCTTTTCACAACCAGAATGAAAATGACTCTAACACAAGTGCTTCAAAAGAATCAAAGTCCAAGGAGGTGCCTAGCCAAATATAGCGTGCAATTTATGATGGTATTACCCCTAGCATAAACTCAGGATGAAGAAAATCTAGAGGTTCCAACATCAACTTTATTTTTTCTAGTATATATCAATTTTTACTATCCATTGAAAGAATAAATACTAGACTATTCAAAGTTTCAATGAATTTTGACTAAAATGTTCTTTTTCGCATGCTTTTAAAAATCAAGTTTTGGATCCAGTGATTTAATGTTCTCATGAGGGGTAAAATAGTCATAAAAAGCATACATTTAGCTGTCCAAGCACTTGTTTGGTCTTTCATGTTTTTTTGCGCACTTTTGCATCCCATGCAAGGGAAACAAAAGTTTTCCTGTGAAATACAGGTAAATGAACATACCATGAGACTTGTACAAATGTTTTCCGGAATGGAGAAAAGCATTCTATTGTTGTAAAACTAGTTGTGAAGTGACACCTGCATGAATTACTCATATTAATTAGAACTGTTTTAAGTCTATGGCACTTAAACAGAGAATTTAGCCAACATATCCAAAGTACACTAACCATGTAGAAGCTTTTAGTATCATCAATTCTGGTCATACACTTCTAAGCTCCAACCTTTACTTGACGTGCTTCATGGTCCTGATGTTTTCAATTTTCAATGGAAACACTGCCTCTCCAAAATATCATAACTACCTTTCATACTCATGGTTTCCAATATAAGTCCATGAAACAAAGGGACTGTACAATATGACCCCATGTGGTCATCAAAACCCCAAGATTATAAAGTTAACACTGTCCCATCACGGTGCACGAAGGTGATGGAGGTGAGTGGGTCCCATCATAATATAGTAAATCCCTAATTTTCCTCCATCACTGTCTGACTCATAGGCTGCACATTGATAAACCACATGGTCATTGTTGTTACTATAATCATATGGATCATATTATATTCCCCAAAACAAACACCCATTTCTGATAATATAGAAACCAATATCATCATTCTTTTTCCATAGTTGAAAGTCATTAAAGAAAAGACAACCAATGGACTTTTAATAAAATGAAGAAGTAAATGCCATAAGAGCAACTAAACAGACCTCACATTTGCAAAAAAATCTCAAATTTTCACATTATTTAAAATCTGTTCCCCCTTTGTTTTTAAAAGTAATAAATACCTTGAGAAATCAGGATAACTTTGAATGGAATAATTAAATATATTCCTTAAGAAGTCCACAAATGCCCCCGATTTTTCAAAAGCCTATATATGTATATATATATCGGGTGCTCACACTATAGAGCATTTTAAAATTGTCCTCAACAAATTTTGGACACTTATATACCCTTGTTTTGTAGTACAATATTTTTTTAGTAAGGGTATTTTTGGTCATTAGAAGGGTTGTGACATCATCTACATGGGGTGTGAGATTACCCACAAGGAGCATTACATGCCACTAGTGTACTCCATGTAGGTGATGTCACAACCTATGTGGATGATGTTACACCCTACCTAATTACCAAAAATACCTTTACTAAAAATATGCTCATTGTATAAAACAAGGGTATATGTGTCCAAAATTTGTTGAGTACAATTCTAAAATTCTCTCTAGTGTGAACACCTTAACATAACCTATATATATATATGTAAGGATTTTCTACAAAGAGACCATTTATCTTTATTACAATGAGGTTACAACTATTCCTACTCATTAGATGTCAAATTGGATAGCTTAGAGTGAGTCACAAAGTCCAAGAAAATTTTTTTTGGAACTTTGTGTTAATTCAATGACACTGTTACAACCACCCATTTTGAAATTTAAGAGACAAGAATGATTGTGACCTCTTTGTACAAAAGGTAAATAGTCTATTTGTATATATATATATATATATATATATAAGAAAAGCATACAATGAGACCATTTACCTTTGGTACAAGGTGGTCACAATTAATCTTGACCATTAGATGTGAAATTTGATGGCTACATATATTCCATTGACCAAGCTCAAACTTCAAAAGAAATTTTCTCGAACTTTGTGACACATCCAAGCTATCAGATTTCACATCGGATGGTTGTCACTAATTGTGACATCTTTGTATAAAAGGTAAATGGTCTCATTGTATACAATCCCATATATAAAATGCAAATTTCCAAAATCAATTGTATTTTGTATAGAGCAGACATTTCATAATTTTTTAGAACATTTATGATACCGATCCAAATCATCAAGAGAAGGGAAGTCCTGGGCAATGCATCTAAGAATGATATAGGTTGATTTTTATTTAATAATTTCGATCAAAATTTGGAAAACATCAAGCATATTTTTAACACCTAGGCGTAAAATAAATTGATGAACTTAAAAAACAGGGTAGGACCTGAGTAATACCTGACTGAAGTTGGATGACGATTTATCAATTTTTATTAGATGGTAAAAAGTTTACATGAGAAATTCACCCTCAACATGGCTTCCCTTAGATAAAACCTGCAAGGCTGTGCCCTTAGCAATCCAGGCAGTAAGTTCTGGCTGATTTTTGTTGTAATTGAGGGGGTGCATATGGCCACTATTGAGTTGCACCCCATAAACAAACGGCAACCTTAACACAAGAAAGCTCTCTGGAGGCAATACCACCAGGCAACCAAGACCAAACCATGCTTGCTGTGAATGGTCCTGAAGATTTGGAGGAAGAAATGAAGCCTACAATTCAAACAAAATTCAACATGATGTGTAATATGCACTTGCAAATACCTGACACACATGCATGACACAAATATATTTCAGCTTGCCAAAGGAGAGGACCACTGTTGTCCACAGCTCCAGCTGACCAGCCATGTGTGTGAGAGTGTGTGTATGCGTGTGTATGTGTGTGTGTGAATGTGTGAAGGTAGGTTCTAATTTGATTGTTTAGAGCATAGGCTCTATACAAACCGCACCCATATATATATATATATATATATATATATATATATAAGAAGATGCTAGGGTGAGCCCACTAGCTCACAGGAAAAAATGAGCCCGATGGCCCATATTGAATCTGGGCCGATCTGACGATCACAGATGTCTGGTAGTGTTTGGATTTTACTTTTTTTCTACAAATCCAAATCACTTGAAATTTTGAGCGTGTGTACATAAAAAATAGGTGAATCTTCAAAAAATATAAAAAAATATTTTACATGAAATAAATTGATCAAAATACCCCCGAAAAGTTTTGGGGGTATTTTGGTCAATTTGTTTTCGCTAATATTTTTTTATATTTTTTATCAGGTGCGGCATGATGAGAAGAATATACGTCTAAAATTTTAAGTGATTTGAATTTATTAAAAAAAAAAAATTAAAATTCAAACACTACCAGACATCCGTGTTCATTAGATCGGCCCAGATTCAATCTGCGTCGTTGGGCTTATACTATTCCATGAGCTAGTGGGCTCACACAAGCTTTTTTCATATATATATATATATATATATATACACGCCCATGAGCTGATTTCCACAGCATTAGCTTAGAAGCCAAAAACTCCAAAACAAATCTAAAGGGATGTATTTAACCTCATACTCATGCCAATGACAGCTCATGAAAATAGCTGAAAGAAACACCCAGAAAATGGGTTATTGAGGGCAGACAAAATTGCATGAATGTAGGTCATCCATTTCTGGGAAAAAAAAAAGGGTGTTCCATGGAGACCTTAGGGGCATTTCTTTAAACCTAATTTTACATATATTCTTATCATCATTAGATGAACAATTTGAAAACAAAGAATTGCAGTTGGGTTCTTAAAGGCCATTATATACATATGAGGAGTGGTTCATTTGACTAAGTTATAGCAATAATGAAACACAGTAAAAAACCATGTTAGGAGCACTTGTTTGACATTAATTTTTTAACATGCACTTAACACAATGATGAACAATTTAAAAATAAAAATCAAAATTTGAAAACGCACCATAAAAATTGCTTTTTTTAACCCAATGAACACATGCCATCCATTTGATGGGATAATTAGATTAGGCCTTAGAGGGATTCTTTTTATCCCAATTTCTATAGATGCCTTCGTAGACATTGGATGAACAATTCTAAAAAGCAAAATATTGATTTTGAGTTCTTAAAAGCCTAGATCTAAATGTCCACCACATGAATGGTCTGGATTCATTGTTGGAAAGTGACTCAGTTTGACCTTTTCTAAAGTGCAAATTCAGTCTTTTTTTTCTTTTTGGCATGGACTATTGGGATTAGTGTTTGAAAAATCATTGATCCGGATTGGAATTGCCCAATCTAGATCGAAAATTGTCGTGTTTGTTCCGGATCCCGTAATATATTGGGATCCGGCCATGTCCCCCCAGCTCCGGCCGGTCCATACCGGTTCTCTCACCGAACCGGCCGGATCTACCATAGACTGGTTGGAAACAGCACTTGTTTTTATATTTTTCCTTGTTAATTTTTTTTGACAAAAGAGCATTGGCATCATGGGCCACCCCACCATTCAGCCTTATCACCACAAGTCAGAGTGTTGTCGTCATTAGCAGACGCCTTGTATTTGTACACTTTCAACTCGCGAGTGCAACACATGGTTTTTTGGCTGAGTGTGGCATTTCTTTTATGAAGGCTTTGCATACCTCAAATTTAGGATGTGAGACAAGTCCTACTTCTTTTCACTGTGATTTCTATGGGGTGACAAAATGGGGTGTCTCTATCACTTCTACAGGTGAATAAATGGTATGAATAGAAGAATAAATTTAGGAGGCTAATGGTCCCAAAGTTTTAAACTTGAGGGGGTACAAGGGAATTTGGTGATCCCAAGGGGCTAATAGGGATGGAAATTTCGGAGAGGGAGGTAGAGGTCATTTTCCCTATTTTTTTTAATCTTAAAATATGGAAGTGCGTTTTAGTATTTTTTGAATCATGTTTAATGCAATATCATTATATTATACAATAATAAATAATTACACACACAAACAACGTCTCGATATTCACATATTTTTGAAAAATAACAAAAGTACATAATGTGACAACAAATTTTTTTTGAAACTAAAAAAAAACACTATTTTTAAGTCTTTTAAGTACTTTTTGAAATTGTTTTGAAGCCAAAACCGGCTGATTCTCCGATCTGGTCATTGATCCACCAATTCGACATGGTTTTTTTGGTTGGCTGATAGGGCCACCGATCATTTTTTTTAAACCTTGATTGGGATGAAGAGAGTGTGAGTGAAAAATTTGGGATCATACTAATGATACGCACATGATTTTTTAAAAGAGCGGTTTCATTATATAATGTAATGATTACATGCAACCACTTCCCTAATATATATATATACCCCTTTTTCCCCTAAGCCCTCCTTACACCACTATCAAAAGACTATCCAAACTGGATTTGTTTGACCCCAAATTTGGAACATGGTCATAGAAACACTAGATAAACAACTTAAAAGAGGAAAAAAAAAAAGAACAAGAACTTTGAGCTTGTCTAAAGCGAGATCTACCGGTGAACCAAAACACATGGCTGACATTAACCCAATTTTCCCTCACCTAAGAGAACCACCTTTTTTTTTTTTGTCTGAAAAACAAATTTCATGTGCCTAACACCAGGTATGCAAAAAACAGAGGTTAAACAAACAAGTCTAACACTATTTTCTTTAGGGGTTTTCTCGTACATCATTAGCCTAGTGGCTAAATAATCAACCTGATAAATTCCATTCAGATGGTAGGATATTTCTAGAGCTAAAACCATCAGTTATCGAAATGAAAATAGAAAGCACAATGGAAGAATCCTTCCACAGCAAGACGATAAAGTTTCTTGTCAACAATTACCATCACATGATAAGCTTTCCACAAAATTTTACATACCTCAAATTCAACAATTGGATTGGTTGCTAAAACAGTGGGAAATTGAGGTGTGACCTACACAATAAAATAAGTCAAAGTTATTGCTATTGCACAAAAGCCTGAACAAAATGCTGGTAACTCCGGCGACATCAATTGAACATAATAAACATTATTTCATTCAGAACGAGGATCAAGATGCATCTCCAACTGCAAAAGAGTTCCTTTGTTCAGATATGTTCCATGTATCATTTCCAAACTTGTCTATTTGTATGATATTTTTGCACTCCATAGAGATGGTTTCTGTTACAAATGAGCTCCAAACCATACTTACACATGTTAGATCAGGATGATAGTTGCCATTAATTAACTACTTATTACAATCAAATATTGTTCACACAACATAGCATCATTCGCATTTCAAACACAAATAGAAAATCTTATAGGAACTTGAACATGATTTACCACTAGTGTCTCCATTAACACCAGTGTTTCAAAAAGAGCTAGGCAGTACCTAGGCGGTCTGAGGGGTCCAGGCTGCCCAGCGCCTAGGCTGGTGCCCTCCTTCTAAAATAGGCTTTAATGGGTTTTAGGTTTCAAATGAACCTAAAACCCACAATAATTCACCTTTAGTATTAAAAAAATGACCCAAAAATACCTTCAACGAGGGACATTTCCGCCCCCGGACGGCCGCCCAGGCGGCCTCCTAAGCAGGCACCCAAGGATATCCACTTTTTTTGGGTGTCTAGGCCTGAGCGAGCTCCCAGGCCCCCAAAACCGCCTAGGCGTTGGGCGGTCCGCTTTTTGAAACACTGATTAACACAATACGTAACTATTAGAAGTATGAGGCAAGGGAATTGAAAATGGAATGGGAGTAATATATAAAAAAAAATTATATATTACTCCCATTCCAATGTTCTCATTTTTATATATTACTCCCATTCCTACTGTTTGTCAGCCCAATCAGTGGATGCAAATGGAAATCACATAATTCAATTACAAGCATCCCCAACAAATGGAGGATAGATGACATGGGCAAAGTTTGAGCACTGGTCATAGGAGGCTTCCTCCTTTCTTTTTATATTTTATTTTTTATTTTTTGTGGGGCGTTGGGGAGTAATATTGGTGGGAAACAAAATAATAGTTAACAATAGGCTGAAAATCATCATCCATGGCAAAGGTAGGTATGTGCATAATTATATTTGAAATAGAAGTACGTCAGTCTTTCCCTAGGCTGGACTAGACACAAAGAGGATGTGAGTGCAAGGGCAATATAAAGACAATTGAACACTTGTCTTGGATGATTCAATCAATAGTGCAGCAACAAGGTCCACCTATTCTCACTTGTCTTCCTTTAATGTCTTCTTTATTGCTAGTTTAGAAAATCCAAAAGGATCAAGGAGTTCAAATCCTTCAGCTCGATGAGGAATTCAAGGATTTTTTTTTGTTTTTTTCCAGTACTTAAGTTTTAGGGAAATTATCACTAGTATCCCTCATATTTTTTTGAAATTTAAAAAATAATTAAATTTTCATATTATTACGCCCATACTAATTTTTTCCCTTTCTTTAATTTTATACCTAAATTGCCCCCCCACTATGGACCTAACAAGTCTGTAGTGGAAGAACCTCCAGGGATATGTTAGATCCATATTACTTTCTGGCACTACAGCCTCAACAGAAATATAGCAATGGTGCAACGGAACTATTAGGTCTGTATCGGTACAAATTTTGGTGCTTCCCAGAATTCTAGGAAGCACTAAAATGCTACAGAGGTTGCGCCTATAAGGACCTATAGTGGCTGCACTGCTACAAACCTAACAAGTCCATGGTGCCATGGACTATTAGGCCCATAGTAGTAAGAATAGCCACAGATTTGTGATACCAACACTATGGAAATATTAGATCAAGGAAAGAACATTGGAATGGGAGTAATATATAAAAAAATTTAGGTATTTTTAATTTCAAAAAATGAGAGGGATAGTAGCGATAATTTTCCAAAGATTTATTAAAACCAAGAAAATCGAACATAGGTAATAACAAAAATGACTAATCATTCACTTAACAAAAAAATAGAAAACAACCTGGTCAAACACCTAAAACCTAATCCATTATTCGAGGGGATAAAAAATTCCTAGACTTGCATCTCCCTCTCTCTCACCCCCTCATTAGCCAGCCTAACTCGTGGGAAATGCACGGCCCTAGAAACTAACCGAGCCAAAACGCATGAACCATCCAAGGAACAAAGGTGCCAAAGACCTTATATGACCCCATAAACATTTGTGTGCCCTGAAGTGGGCAGCATTTAGCTTTACAATTGGAAGGCTAATTGTTTTTGGTTCATGTAGTTCACAAAGTCTGGATTTTATTTATTGCATTGATGCAAGACAAAATTATTCTTATTTTTAATTTTTGTTTAATTTCAAAGGATATATATTTTAATTTAATTGTAGGGTTATTTTTAGGGTTCTTATTTCTTTCTTTTTTAGGATTCTAGGATTTTTTATGTCATTACAAATTTTGTTTTAAGTTAAGACTATTTAATCAATCCTTTTTTGGTGATGAAGGGAATTATGGACGTTTTTAATCCAATGAAGTCATAAAAGAGGATTCATATGATCTTGAAACAAACAAAAACAAACACCCACACACCCACACACCCACACACACATGCACATCATGCACGTGCACAGACACACACACGACACATGCACACCACGCACGCACAGAGACACACACACGCACACAACGTACACACACGCCACACACACACGTGTGTTTGTGTGTATAATGAGGAAGCTTTAGCTTTGAATCCCTAGTTTGAGGAAGAAATCCCAGATATTTTTTCCAATTGCTTGAATTTGTTTTCTGTTTCCTTTAGAAAAATTCTAGATCATAAGGTGTCAGAGCTAAGGATTTGTGCTCAGGAAGGGGCAGGAATCTGCAATCAAGTCTAAGGTTTGCTGAGTTCAGGCCATGGTGTGCTAATTTCAGTCAAAATTTGTTGATTTTAGCTCAGGATTTAGTAATTTACTAATTTCAGCCTAGAGCTTGGTGATTTCTGCCTAGGGTTTGCTGATTTTCAGCCTAGCGTTTGTTATTTTGGCCAACCTATGGCAGCAAAAAGGGATCACGGGAGGAGGGCTATCGTCGATCTACCTGTGAAGTCAAAGATGAAGAAATTAAAGATTTTAAGAGGGAAGTTCAGCAGCTTGCACGACAACTTGCAGGCATCACTCATGGGCAAGATGGTGATCTTTCTGCTCAAGAAGATTTCGAGTACAACCTTTTTCACCATCATGCTCTGCGTAAGGAGTCTAGTGAAAAGAAAAGTGATAAAAAGACCTAGATGTGGGGGACATCAATTTAGGGTTTTTTATTTGAAGGTGGACATTCCTATTTTTGGCGAGTATAATTGACTCACAATTAAAGGAGCGGTAAACTCGTCGCTTGTGGGTACAATTTCGTTTATGATATTGAGGAGGCCGACCGCAAAAATCTTTATTTGATCAAGTTGTTTTCAAAATCAGCAGGTTGTAGATTGGGATTCACCACGAATGTTCCATACATGCTTAGATGAACAGCAAGATCTCTTAAGATCCGTTCTATGATAAGGTTCAAGATGAAGATCTCAACGATATTGAAGAGGTGGAGCAATCACGAAATTTGGGGCATTCGTATCAGAGTAGCGCAACAAAAGCATGGTCAACCCATAAATTGCAAACTGTGGCCTTGAATTCAAAGAGTAATGAAATAGATGCCAAGAAAGCATCTAGAAGCCAGAAAATTGATTTGAAGTTTCCTACACGATCTTCATTGCAAGTTCAGGGATAGTCGAATTTGATAAATTTGTAATGATTCCCACCCACCACCCACCACCCACCACCCACCACCCACCTACACACACCCACCCACACACACGCATGCACACACACACACACACATGCACGCACGCACACACACACACACACAGAGGGAAAAGATCCTGTCAGCCAACGTCCCAGATTGAATCTGGGCCCAATCCAATGGTCACAATCTCATTTCGTATTTGAATTTTCATTTATTTTATACAGATCCAAATCGATTGAAATTTCGAGTGTCTATTCTTAAAAAATATTAGAATCCAATAAAAATAATTCGAAAAATTGACCAAAATACCCCCAAAACATTTCAGTGGTATTTTGGTCAATTTATATTTTACGAATTATTTTTTTTATATTTTTATTAGGTGCTCCTTGATGAGTAGAATGTACGTCTAAATTTTCAAGTGATTTTGATTTGTAGAAAAAAAAATGAAAATTCAAATACGAATAAGGTCGTGACAGTCAGATCGGCCCAGATTGGCTGACATTATAGCAGTCAGCTCGTGGGCTAACAACATCCATTCCCATATATATATATATATCTAGGAAAAGTCTTCCCAACGCCTATAGGCGATAATGAATAGTGATTTCGCATATGCTCATCACCGTCCAAAGTTCATCGCACGGTCACGATTGTCCGGTAGTGTTTCAATTTTTATTTTTTTTCTTTTACAAATCAGAATGATATGAAATTTGGAGTATGTGTACATCTTAGTGAGGCGCACTTAATAAAAATATGAGAAAAATATTTCGCAAAATATAAATTGACCAAAATACCCCCCAAAATTTTCAGGGGTATTTTGGTCAATT